AAACATAGAGGGGATGTGATATTTTATTCAGAAATTTAAGTTTCTTTTATACAAAATCATCATTTTATACAATTTCATAAAAATTTACAAGTGATAAACCGAATAATTTAAACACTAAATACTAACCGTTTGAAATATTGTATGAATTATGTAGGGGAATGTTAAATTTTTGAAGTATAAATTAGGAGGATGTGATATTTTAAGTAAGAATTTCAGTGTCTTTGTGTGGTACATTCTGAACTTACAAGTGATGGATATGATATTTTAGGTACCAAATACTAATCGCCTAAAATATTGTACGAATTATTTAGGGGGATGTAATGTTTTAGAAGTAAACATAGGGGAAATGTGATATTTTAAGTAAAAATTTCAGTTTCTTTTCGTGACATGTACAGTGAATAAACCGAGGGGATGTGATAAACTAGATACCAAATACTATTTGTTTGAAATATTGTATGATTTACTTAGGGGGATGTATTATTTTAAAGGTAAACATAGAGGTGATGTGATATTTTAAGGAAAAATTTCAGTTTCTTTGTGTGGGACATACAGAATTTACAAGTAATGAATCTGATATTTTAAACAATAAATACTAACCGTTTGAAATATTGTATGAATTACTTAGGGGATGTAAAATTTTAGATACCTGCATAGGGTGGATGTGTATTATATTTTATTTTAAGCTGGCGATCCTGTAAAAGGGACATGGAATGCTGGTGGTATTCAAAATGAAGCAATATTGTGGTGTGACGCTAGTAGTATTGCAATGGGTGTTGCAATCGAATATAAGGCATGGCTACGAAGTATAAATGATGTCATGCATATTAATATGGCTGAATTAGATGCAGTGGTGCGTGGAATAAACCTAGCTGTTATGTGGGACATCAAGACTCTACACCTGTTTCTCTAAAAAATAAGTACGTTTGGCGACTACCTATTCACAATACAGTCATGAAAGACCACAAGAGGAATCGGCAACCTATAGAACTGGAGAACAAGTTTATGTTCGTCCTGTTGATGCAAAGTGTACGACGATTTGGAAAATTGGTAACCTGACCATATACTCTCAAAAACAAATAAAATGAAAGCGACGAAAGTAAGTTCGACGATTTACATATTGCAAGAGACGAGGAAGTTGAAGAGTCAGTTGATGAAGAGTCAGTTGCTGACGAAGAAAATGACGGAATTGAAGTCATGGATAATTTATTACCGTTACTCAGACGTTCGACTAGAGAACGGAGAAGGCCGACATATTTAAATGACTATTTGCCATAAGAACTTAGTTCTTGGGGAGATGTTAATAGCTAATTTGTAAACGCCATTATAATTTAATAGCGTTTACAAATCCTTATTTGTCATAGTTTCTTTTGTACTTTTGTTTGTACATAATTATCCCGAGGGAGCTTTTGTTGTATAATGTATAAAAATTATAAATAGTAAAAAAAAGGACAGAGTTCCTAAAAAGTATAGAAAATTATCGTTTTACAGGAAGTTAAAAGACTTTTAAAAAATAGGGGTAAAATATTATGTTAAATTATATTGTTTAAACTTGTTAAAATGAGGTTGTTATATAAATAAATGCTATGTTGTTATTTGTTAGCATCGGCTGCTCCCAATAAAAGAACTAGTTATAATAAATAAGAAGACAAACTGTTAAAATTATTAATAAAAGATAAAAATCTAAGATGGATCAGTGTGTATTAGAAGATAAAAACTAGGCATGCAGATTCATGCCGCCAGCAATATTTATTGATTGTTTATGGGTCCTGAATGCATTAGAAAAAGTGTTTTTGGAACATCTATCTGGAAATGATATATAATACTGAATTAACATAGGCTAGCATTTCCTAATAAGAATTTATATATATATATATATATATATATATATATATATATATATATATATATATATATATATATATATTTATATTCAAAGATGCGCTTACGTTATTGCTGCATTATCATCCCATTTTTTAATGGCAAACATCTAAAATATGTTTTTAAAAAAAGGAAGCATAGAAAAACGTGATAATAATCTTTCTTACTTTACATATAATATAAATTTTAAACATTTGATTATTAAAAACTACCTTTATTAGTTTATAAATTGTTGTTGATGTTTTAAACATACTTTAATAAACCATTTGTAGGTTATAGTCTTATTAAACAGCATGTATGCCTGTATAAGAAATAAATAAAGGGGTATGTTAAAATATTTACTACTTTTTTTGTGGTACATTCTTTAATTCGTATTACTTTAACTGGTAATATTAGTGCACTTTTACTAAGAATAATAGTATCACAGTGAATATTAGTTATAAAACATGAACGTTTTTACTTGGAATGTCAACACTATTCAACTAGAAATATTAGAAAACTTAATTTATAAATATTAAAACATTCTAATTTAGGGATGACACTTTTACTTATTTGAATGAAAAACGCGATTCACTTTTAAGCGTAAATTACTTACATAACTCATATAAAAATACTTAATTCACTTACATTTAAAAGTTTTTTTTTTTTTTTTTTCATTATATTAATTATATTACAAGTAAAACTTAATTTGATATATTTAATTACCTAAATTCGTAACTAATACTTGAAAAAGTAATTTATTTTTGGAGTAAAAAACAAATTATATTAAAATTCGTTTACTTTTTCTTGAAAAAAGTAAATTACTTTTTTTAAGAAACGTTCTAAGAACGTTCTTAGAATGTTATGTGTTAGATGGGTAATAGAGTTATAATGTAAAGCAAGGTAGTACCAACGGTGTCTATTTTGGTCCTGATTAATGGGCAGCCATTTTAATAGCTGCATCCTTATGATGAATATAACCCAACCCCTTCTGAACCCCATTATGAGGAATTAGAAAATTAGAAAAAGAGAGCAACTATTGCCCACAATAAGGGAACCAATTTAAAAGTTTCTACGTCTGTTGTAATTTTATTTCAGAATATCAGTTGGGTAGATAATGGCCATGTAAGCATTAGATAAAAATGTATCCTAATTATATGTGCTGTATCTCAATAACCATATTTCCATTGCCATTGCTTTTACAACAGCATTGCCATTGCTTCCGCCGTTCCTCCATTTAGATATGGCATTATTATGTGAGTTCTTGGCAATGTCTATATGAAATTAAAGATTTTACATCATTATGTGAGGTTCCTGATGTCTATATACAATTATATGTTATACAGCAGAAGAGAAAAAAAAAGAGGATACACATTTATTAAAATGATTATCTGCCCACAACTGGCTAAATAAAGTCTAAATATATTCTGTCTCAAGTGTTTACAGGCCCGACGAGAGGGGGGGCCAGAGGGGTATTTTCCCCGAGCCCGGGCCCGTAGGGGCCCGAGCCCATCACCATCGGTCTCTTAGCCTATCAGGTCCCAGTCTCCAGGTAATCAGTTAATCCCCATCAAGCAACATTGTGTCTGCATCACTTCATCAGTTAGATAAATAAATTTACTATGTAATATTGATAGGATAAATCTATTCTTTATTAATAATTTAGTTTACTGAATGAAAATACACTTTTGAGAGTAAAAACGGAGACTAATAGCCTCTAAAACTTAAAAAATAAATATAGGGCACCAGCCCGCAGGTTTTTCGTAAGTTCCTTGCTCATGCCATGCTTCATAATATATATAATAGGCCTATTTATAATAGGCCTATTTATATAATATAAATATATAATATAATATATATAATAGGTCTATAAAAAAAAAAAAAAAAAAAAAAAAAACATATATATATATATATGTATATATAAAACCTGCAAACTTTGTCTTCATGAGAAGTTAGAAGTTTTATCTTTTAATGGAAACAACCTGCGTAATAAAAAAAGACGAAATATTATCTAAATGTCGACATTTAAATAAATTCCTGTTATCTTCGTTTGATACTGGAGATTAAATGATTGCGCCTTTTCAAATTACGTCAGAACTCGTTCTACTGTAAAATTTTGATTCGTTTTTTAAACGTTAATTTTTAATTTGTAATTAATAGCTGATGATTGCCGAAAGGCACGAAACTTTAAGTACTATTATAATGTTGTTTTTCTTCATTTAAATAATATATACATATATATATATATATATATATATATATATATATATATATATATATATATATATATATATATATATATATATACATATATATATATATATATATATATATATATATATATATATATATATATATATACATATATATATTATATACATATATCTATTTTATTTATACAGTATATACTGTACTGTACAATAAACTGAACTTCTATTTTAACTTTTAACAATTATTAATTGTCGTTTATTTTAATTTGTCTATTTACTTATTAACTTAACTAATAAACTTTTGTTCATTTGTTACAGGACCTCGCATAGGCAGCCTACTACATGCAGCTATGGATCATTACCAGCATAAATCTGGTGCTCAAAAAAGAAAAGAAAAGATTGCTCGAGAAAAATCAGCCAAGAAGGGTCAAAGTATGATTGAGTCTTTTGGATTTATAAACTGCAATCGTATTGATGGTGTTTCTGAGGATTAGATGTGCAAGATGAAGTCACAACTCTCAAATGTTGAAGTAGAGCCAGTGCCAATTGAGGAAGATGAATTGTTAAATAGGAAAGTTATGAGTGCTGATGTGAATGAGAATGTAATAGACAAAAATGAAAATATTCTTCCAAAGACATCAACTGCAAGGCTAGAAGAATTACAAGACAAGGCAGATGATGTCCAACTAGTTCCATCAAATAACTATGATATTGGTTTAATTAAGGAATTATTTTGCACTGCTGAACAAATTTGTTCATCATGAACCCATTGCTCACCCAACAAAATTTCCAAAAGATGCATTGCCTAAATCATTTCCGCGCACGTAATTACACATTGCCATGCCAAATGGCGAAAAAATTCCACGAGATTGGCTAACGTGGAGTTAGACGAAGAATGCACTTTACTGTTTTCCCTGCCGACTTTTCTCTAAAATGCCAGAAACCCATCGATCGGCATTATCTCTGCCAACAGGATATTCCAAGCCCAAGGACAATAAATGGAAGAAACTTTATGAAAAAATTCCTCATCATCAATCCAGCAGTGGGCATAAAATGTGTTATGTAGAATGGAGACGATTAGAAGAAAATCTCAGAGATAATACAACTATCAATTTTTTATTAAATGATAATATAAAGACAGAAGTGGAAAGATGGAGGCAAATACTTCGTAGAGTGTTAGATGTTATCTTGTTTTTGGGTGAAAGAGGTCTTGCATTTAGAGGCGATAGTCATCTAATTGGTGAACCCAAAAATGGGAATTTTTTGGGAATTATGGAACTCATTGGTCATTACGATTCCATTCTACATGATCATCTCGAAAAAGTAAAAGCTTCTCAACAGAGCCATAAGCGAATGCAAGCACATTATTTGTCAAATGATATCCAGAATGAGTTTATTCAGTGCTGTGCAGATAAAGTCACAGATGTGATATTAGATGAGATGGAGAAATGCAAATATTTTTCAATGATTGTGGATGCAACGCCTGATACAGCTAATATTGAGCAAAATGTTTTTATTTTAAGATACGACTTACAGGACAAATTGACAGGAAAAGATGAGGTAAAAGAGAGATTTCTGGAATTTGTAGATTGCAATAAAAAAACTGGTGAAGATATTGCAAATACAATTACTTCTACTCTTCAGAAACATAAAATACCACTGATGTGCTGTCGTGGACAAGGATACGACAATGGGAGTAATATGAAAGATTCAGTCAAGGGAGCACAAGCTCGAATGTTGTCCTTAAGTGATAACTTTCTTTGGGATAGTGCAAAAACTGTATAACATATTTAGTACCAGTCCTCAAAGATGGGAAATTTAAAAAAAAATATTGGTTCGTCTCTTCATAGCATGTCCCAAACGCGCTGGTCAGCTAGAGTGGACTGCATTAAGCCATTCGCAACCCACCTTCCTGGTATAATCAAATCAGTAGCTGATATAAGGAACCTAAATTTGTCTATAGAAAATCGTGCTGATCTAAATGGGATTATTTCATATATGGAATCGTTTGAATGCATTCTGATGTCCGCTATATGGTTTAAAGTACTTACTGCTATCAATTACACCAATCTTGTTTTGCAAGCAAGGAATGCTACATTGGATGTAGAAGTGACCAACATCAAACGACTAATTGATGAATTAAAAACTCTTCGAGATAAATGGGATTCTATTATGGTGGAGAGTAAATTAGTTGCAAACACCTTAAACATTTCTCAAGAACTTCCAGAACCTAGACGAAAAATTAGGAAGCGATTTGCTGATGAGACACCTGATGAAATTTCTCTATCAAATTCTGAAAATAATTTTAAACAAAACGTTTTTTATATATTATTGGACTGTATTATAGGGAATATTAGTAGACGATATGAATGCATATGAAATTGACGAAACTTTTAACTTTCGCTGGAAGTATAATCATTACGAAGAGGAAGAAATTCGCCGAAGGAGTAAGGATTTTGAGAATAAATACAAGGATGATGTTTCCATGGAGCTGATTGATGAGCTTTTGCATTTGAAATTTATCCATGATGTTAACATCAAAAATAATTTGGACCCCTTCCTTCTTCTCAATAAAATTAACGACCTGAAACTTATATGTCTTTTCCCCAACATTTGTATTGGCCTGAGAATTTTTTGTACATTACCAGTTACGGTAGCACAAGCTGAACGGTCTTTTAGCAGACTGGCGCTTATAAAAATTGATCTAAGATCAACAATGACGCAAGGTAGAGTTTCTGACTAAGGAATTTTAGCGATGGAGTGTGATTTAGCAAAAAAGATCAATTTTGACAGTGTAATTGCTGTTTTGCCAGTAGGAAAGCGAGGAAAGTTTAAATCTAACTTACAGGTTTTATATATTTTAATTTTATTGTAGTTAAATTATATATAATTTTTCACTGTATTGTATTTAAAATATACTTGTAAATAAAATACTGTATACAGTCAAATTAAAAAATTATTTGTATCAAAAGTACTATTATTCATATGACTGAAGCCCTAAGCCCTGAGGGGGCCTGTCAGTTTGATATTACCCCAGGCCCGGTACCAGCTCTACACGGCCCTGAGTGTTTAACCGCGACAATTACAAGAACAAAAGACATTCATTAGAGCGCCCTGTAGGTTTTTCTATATCATGTTCATAATTAAGGATATTTACACTTTACTTGTTATATATTCCAGTAAGCCAGATGTGGTATCACAAATTATGATCCATAGGTACTAACCTAATGCTAATTAAGCAATCCTTTAAAGACTTGAGATTGGAATAGTCTTAAAATGGTAACTGTGGAGATACTTTTTTGAAAAATGGTTCATGTTCAACAATGTTTCAGTGTTTCGCTACAACACTGTGTAATTTACTTCCGGAGGGGTTCTTCGGTAAAACAATCTGGAATTTTTTAGTCACTTTTTTATCGCTACCATCATATATATCGATGGGTTGTATTGACATTTTGACAAGATCTTCTTGGCTGTGGTTTAGGGCTTTAAGTAATAAAAGTTAATTGTTAATAACGATTAAACTTTAAGGATAAGTGTTCTGGCTAAGACTTCCAGGTCATTTGTCTAATAAATCTTAGCGTCTGTCCAGAACTCAGGGCAATTCCTTATGTCTTAAATAACTTCACTCATGATGTCCGTCGGCTTCCCCTATAGCTTATGATAGTGAGATCTAAAAAGATCATTCGCACATGGTGTATTCTTTAAAGTATATTTTATGCTGTTGTGAACACCATTCATGATAACTTGATTCCTCTTTAATTATTCCGCTGTCCCATTGAAAATGATAAAAATATTATCTGTGATTCTTTTAACGAATTTAGTGATATATTCAATGAGCTGGAAAGTCCAAAAAGTTTGGACTTTCTAACTCATTGAATATATCTATATATGTAGATTTAATCGTGCACCTTTACATCCAAGAAGTGTGATTCAGAAAGTTGGAGAGCATTAGACATTACCTAAAGGTCTATTAATACAATGTGTTCAGGTGGACAGGGCTATAATGGCCTTTAAAGATACTGTTTTCTTATGGATCTTCCACCGCCAATGACCAAATTCACTTGTGTTAAAAGTGTTTGTAAAATATTTATTGAAGTTGATAAAATTGCAAAAGAAACCATGTCTTATGCTGCACTTGAATTTATAAAAAATCCCAACATAATATTGATGAATCCATTTCAATAAATACCATTGTTTCTAGTAATGGTAATAAACAATGTTAAGGTTTTTCCTTTAACAACGGTGTTTATACTGCAGTATATATGTTTACAGGAAAAGTTTTGGATTTTGAAATATTCTTTAATTATTACAAACAATGTTTTAGATTGGAAAGAAATAAAATACAAACCCTGATGCATGTTACAAGTCCAGGCATATCACTATTGTCCTAATGTTAAAAAAAGTTGGTGTCAGCACAATGTTGATCGAAAACATCCAATTTAACCTTCTCTCTATAAACCTGGACCTGGTTTGCCACGTGATTTTAATGAGCCAATATTTAGAGAACTTAGTTTTTATAATTTGCTTGCAAATGTTTGCATGGAAAATTTAGAACTGAAAGTAGTCTTAACAGGATGATATGGAAACGAATACCGAAAACTAAATTTTGTTTATTACTTACAACATGATGTTGTTGAAAACTTTAACATTGAAAGAAAAGCATCAGTGATGACCTAAGAAAAACTCGATATGATTTCACTAACATTTATGATGGCTGCCTGCAATAAAATAAATAAATTACGTTTATATCAATCGCCATACAAATATAAATCCAATATATAGTTGCATAGAAAAAAACGAATAGGAAAAGATATCATAAAATGATAATAAGAAATGATAAGTAATAACTCATAATGCTGCTGGTAGCATTTTAAGTTTTTGCTCTTAAATTTACATATGTTGAATAATTTAAAATATTTATTTGCTAACTTTTATTTTCTCTTGCGTCACAATAAATTTATTTTTTAGTGATCAGTTGTAAAACCAAATTTTCAGCATAGGTGCGATTTTAGGAAGTATGCAATCTGCCAAAAGTTAATTAAACGTTTCAGAATTTGAAATATTGCTGCTTCAACACTGAAAATCTTTATATATCAAAATCATCATAATCAATGTGGAGTTTGAAGGAAACTTATATATAGATTTAAAAAACTTTTACCAGAAAACAAAGATCAAACTGTTTTTAAAATATAGGGCCAAGTTTCGCTTTCAATACGCAGATTTAGAATCTGAAAGATTTTAGACTTTGCTGTGATATTTGCTGATATCCGCTTTATTAGATGATAAATATGACTACATGACCACCTGAGATTTATAATGAGATTTTCACCTGAGAGTTCAATGAGATTTTCCAGATGCTTAATTGAAATTTAGACTACAAGATTACGTAGTTAAACTACATGAGGCACGCCGCCTAATTAAATTGTGCCATCAGCACATCATCATCATATGTAGTAAAATGTGTAGTTCTATTCAATCGGGTTTTGATCTAAAATTCGGGTTTATATCAAACTTAAGTTTTAATAAATTTAATATTTATCTGATGAGAGCAACAATGTTTATAATTTAACTGGTTGAATTATAATTTAACTGGTTAAATTATTAAATTTAACTGATTAAATTATTAGCTGAATTATGAACTAATAAATGAAAGAATGAAAAAACAAGTTGAGCAAAGAGTCATGTAATAAAATATTACATCCGCCTAAAATATCAAATCACCAATAGAGAAATGAAAATGAGAACGCACTTTCAGGTCATTGCACTTTTAAAGTGTATCAAGAACGTCCGAGACATTCAATTATAACAAATATAATAAAAAAGGCAACGAGATTCATGAAAACGTTTTTCTACTAATATACTTTAAATGAAGTTAACATAAAATGGTAATATATTTTAAATTGATTTTTATGAAATTTTGATCGTAGTGTATTGCTTGACAATAGTATAAAAAAAAGATTACGCATAAGGGATATAATTCTGTAGGAAATAAAAATAACAATCGTTTGCAATATTATAAAAGCCTGAATAAGGGGGATGTGATATTTTAAGTAAGAGTTTCAGTTTTTTTTTGTGGTACATACAGAACTTACAAGTGGTGGATGTTATATTCTAGATACAAATACTAATTGTTTGAAATGCTTTACAAATTACATAGGGGATGTGATATTTAAGTAAGAACTTCAGTTTCTTTTTGAGACATGCAGTAAATAAACCGAGGGGATGTATAGTGTGACATTGTACAGTGTATGATATAGTATATATAGTCCTATATAAGTATATTTATGTATATATACATATATAAATATATATATATATATATATATATATATATATATATATATATATATATATATATATATATATATATATATATATATATATATATAGATAGATATAAATATATATATATATATATATAAATATATATATATATATATATATATATATATATGTTTATATATATCTATTTATATATATATATATATATATATATATATATATATATATATATATATATATATATATATATTTAATAATATATATTTACGTATATATACAGGTATATCTATATATATTTATATACATATATATTTTTATATATATTTATATATAGAGACACATATATAAATATAATTAAAGAACAGTAAACTGTCTAGTATAAAGATATTGGTAAAATTGTAGCAAAATTTAATTACAATATGAAAAAATGTTAACTTTAAGCATAACAATAGGTGTAACATAGATTAAAAAAAATTGTAGCATAATTAATTACAACCTTTTACGGCATTAGAGTTCTTTTAAAAACTAAGATTATAAAATTAAAATTTAGATTATAAAATTAAAATTTTCTTAAAATTCAAAAAAATAAAATTACTGGAAAAAGAAAAACATACAGGATATAGTATCAAGTCTTAGTTTTAGATTCGGAGGTATGCGTGTTAAAACTACCTTTTTTTTTTCTTTTTTTAAGTAGATATAATATTTTGTAATAGTTTTTAAAATAAATAATTAAAATATACTTTAACTTTAATACTATGCTAGTATTAAATTATATATAATTTTTCACTGTATTGTATTTAAAATATACTTGTAAATAAAATACTGTATACAGTCAAATTAAAAAATTATTTGTATCAAAAGTACTTGACATAATTTACACAGTTTTAAATTATGTCAAATTTTAAAGTCTTTTTACTGTAATTTTATTATTAAAACACTTCCATGAAAAACTATGTAGAATTTACAATAATGATGCTATCAAGCTAATTTTTATTTTATTTTGTGACTTATTCCTAACTCTATGCAACTGTATCAGTAACTCCGAAGACTTGGTACTGTAAGGCACCCATATGTTAAATAAAAAAGTCATAAACGCCTTTATTGTTTAAAAATATTTATAGTATTGGCAATATTTATCATAGGAAGGGTAAAGAAAAACAACAGTGCAAATATTGTAAAGTTTTTTTTTATTTAATTGTAGTTGTAACTATATGAAACACCACTCCCTCCCACCCCTCATCCCATATCTTCTCCTTCCCCAACAAAAAAAGGGGAGATCTGCCCAATTATTAAAGACCTATATCCTAAGGACCCCGTTGGATATGGGTCCTGGATGTTGCTTCCTGCAGGCTATAAAAGCCTCATATGCCAAATCTAAAATGTTAAAAGTAACAAAGTGAATCTTATACAATATTAAAGTAACAAATTTGAATCTTATACAATATTTTAAAGATAAAAAAG